AATGACGGTCCATCAAGTGGAAAGATGCAGTGGAAGGAGCAAGAGGAGTTCAGGAAAATTAGAGGAAAGAGAAGAAATAGGGTTGTGGAACAAGGGAAGATTCACAGAAATAACAGCAAAAGGTCCCGAAGACAAAGTTTGGATACAATGTCTCAGGAAACAGGAAGACGGAGTAAAAAGGGTATTGGAAGGATGAACATGCACAAAGCAGCTATTTTGGAGAGGGAGAGTTGAGTTAGGATTTGTGTCCTGAAAACAATGCTGTCATATTCAAGAACAGATGGGCACACAGGATGTGTCTGAGGCAACTTTGTGCAAGTAGCACGAAGGAGCTTTGTACAAAGGATTTCTGCTGGAAGGGAGCATTAATACCAGTGGGACGTGGCAAGTATGACAGAATCATAGACTAGCTTCAGTTGGGACCTCGGCGGGTCATCTGGTCCAACCGCTTGCTCAGAGCAGGGAGAGAAAATAATACATAGGAAGTGAAAAATTCCCTTGCAGCTTCATAGATAGAAAGTTAAGCCTTAGCTATATGCCAGAAATGTGTATCCAAAGTCAAACCTTCCCTTGGTTCCCTATGGTTGATGTTCCCCTCTGGAAGCAATCCTCATCTTAGAGATTACTGGAATTCCTACTATAATTGCTCTGAATTCCTTGCTAAGGAGCACAGAGGGGGTTTTTTTTGCATATCAAAAGCAGGCAAAAGACACACATGACAATCAACCTGTAGCTTGCTCTAAACACACATGCACATCTGATGTACAGTTGGTGCCAGCACAGAACAAAGATAGGAAAAATATTTCTCATGCAAACTGGGTTGGTGGTTAATCAAGTGAATTGTACCTTTTAGAGAGGTATCCTAGCAACTCCCCAGCAGCCACAAGTCCCGGCTGACAGTGCACACTGATGCAATTGTTCTCCTACTGCAGACATCAAAACTTTGCAGCTAATCAAAGAGATAATTCGAAACAGGAGACCACGTTAAATTTGATCCAACAAAAGGGAACTTTATAAATGAGCAATGTCACCCGGGGCATCTCTCATGCTTAAAGTTGTCGTCTCGGAACAAGAGTGGGTCAGGCTTAGCAAAGCCATGCAACTCTGGGAACAAAACCTCCCTTCCCGCAGTTGGCAGCACGGTTCTCCTGAAGGCGCTCACTTCTGCCGTGTCGGTTTTTACTGGTCTCCGCATTAGAGCAGTATGCAGAATTTATTCCTATTTTCTTGAATAGCAAAGACTCACCCAAAGCACTCTCTAGAGCACAAGCACCAGGAAAAGCCCTGCTGATGCTCTTGCAGCCATTTGCCCCAAGATGTTTCCCTGAACAAATTCCTACTCCTAACATGCCAGATCAGATATCCTTTCACATCTCCTGACAGTGCAAATAGGCTCTGGGCTGGCTGGATTAGACCTTCTGTCTCAGGACCAGCAGTGAACCTGAGGCTACCAAGTAGCCTCAGCACATCCTATCCAAGCATCACCATTTTGGAGGCATTATAGATTTGCAATTCACGTCTTTAGGCATGTATGCAATATGCGAAGCAAAACTAGAAACACAGGATTTGTTAGGGTTCTCAAAAAGAATTTTTTTTTTTTATTATTACTCTGTAGCTAGCCCAAAGGTACCACAGATCTGAGAAAAATATTCAGTATGTTTAAGCATTTCCCAGTTCACTTTTCGTAACCACCGTAGTGTTCCTCAGGCTTCAGCTCAGAGCTGTGAAGGGCATCCCAAGTTCTCCTACACCTTATGTCTCTTATCCTGGATTACAGAAGATCTGCTATACTCCCCCCACCCTCCACCGTTCGTTTCCTCTCTCAAAGAGAAAAATCTTCCTTCTTAAAACTTTGTTTTCTCTGTCAGGTGAGCCCTGACACCTGACCACCTTCATCAGATTCTCCTCAGATACTTTTGTTTGAAGACCGCTCCCCTGGGAATCAGAACTGGAAGACCAGTTTTCCCAGGGCAGTAACAATCTTCCTGAATATTCCACTAAAACAGTTAATCAGACGTTAATGACCTTTTCCTTTAGGAACGAAGGAATTTCTCCCACCACCTTTGGTGGTTCCGAAGGAAAGCAAAACGCAACAGGTATAACAGCCATATGATCCGAACATCTAACAGACAGAACCTACAAATGGACATAAACATCAAATCATACACAAATCATCATCAAAGCATTTGTGACCTACTTTTTACCACAAAAGATGGATTCTTTTTCAGTCAATCAAGTGCTACTAAACACTGCCACCGCTAAAAGCAACATGCAGACTGTCAGGATACAATAGTTGAGACGAGGGGCCAAGAGGACTACAGTGGAATCAATGTGCCCAATCATAAGGTCCCTAGATCCTTTTAAAACCTTGCAAAACTTGCTTCCAGTCGGTAGCAAACTGTTACACAACAAACAGAAATGCTGCTTACAGATGTTAGAAGGACCCAAATGTTTCCACCCCACAAAGAGAAGATTCCCTCTCAAAGAGTTGGCTTTGTGCATTTTACCTGCAATGGTCTTTGCATACAAGTAACTCAAAGTGGAAAACGTAGCCAAAAAAAGAGTAAGCTGTAGAGACAGAGGGCAATGAGGGGAAAAGGGAAACTGTAGCTGTGATACTGAAACTGCGATATTGTTCCCAGCAAATTAATTTATTTTCACCTTCCTAACACAGATACATTTTTTTTTTTTTTTTTTTTGTGTGTGTGCAAGTCACCACAATGCTTGTTACCAGACTCTTCCTGAAGCATGACGTGAACATCTGTGATTTTAAGAAGGGGCTGATAATATGAAACAGCTTAGAAACTATACATTTGTAGTTGAAACAGCAGGGCACATCAGTTCAGCACGATAGTTAGAATTTGCCAGATGTTAATGGGTTGACTTCCGAAGAAACAAAACCCAACCCTCCATACACTACACGATCCTTAATAACCGCAGCAGCTACATCAATGTTTTATGCCTTAGAATCCTCAACCATAGGAAAGAAAAATAAACAACCCATCCCAGCAGTTATCTTCAGGCGGCAGTCACCCACAAGTAGGGCATGAAAGTTAGACAAGTAACCATCCACTCACAAACACCTACAGTGTTTACCCGCAGTCTTCTCCTACCTCTTACACCACAGTATTCCGCCAAAGCAGCCACTGCAGGAGAGTAACAGACAAATTCACTGTTGCTGGTCAGAATTGTCCTGATATTTTGACCATCTGCAAGCAAAATGACCCAGCTAAATTCTGTAATATTATAATCAATATAATTGGGACTGTAAGCAAGCAGGTGAACATGAGTTGCTCTTCACTACAGGGTGTCTAGTGAGAACGGTCCCACACACTGGGTCAGGATCTGTGACTAATTTGCTTTCTGAATGGGGGAGCAAACAAAGTTATTGCATGATGCAGACAGCAGCCTTTCTTTTCAGAAGAGCCATTGTGTTCAGAGAAATCTTGACTCAAAGCATCCTGAAATCATGAGAATTCTTCTCTGTATTTTAGTATGTTTTAAATCAGGCTCATAGGGAGCATATCAAGAGAGGCATTTCAAATCCTGTTGTTCTTGTAAGGAACGACTTTCAGCTTACTTTCTGGAATGCCTCTGCTAAATCCTTCATTGCCTACCTTTTTAATTTGTATATGTGGCACCGCCCAGTGAATAACATCACTAGCCATGTTGCTACCAAACCACCAGCCCCCAGTATCAGCAACAGGATATAAAACGTTAGAACTTTCTGTTAAGGACGATCTACACACAAGAATTTTACTCAACTCATTTAATAAAACCATTTTGTTAAAAAATGACTTAGTAATGATTGGGATTTTACATAGAAAATTAAGAAATTACAAAAAACGGCATTATATAATAAATATAATCTGAATATATGAGAAGAGTTAGACAAATTTGGTAGTAAGGTCTACAGAAATCCTATGCAGAAGACAGATCAGCTGTTCCTGAGTTAGCTATGTTTCTGTTGACGTTCTTCTGAGATAACATGATTGCAGTATAGAATATTCTCTTTCTACCTGAGCCTTTGTGGTAGGTACGTCTCTTCTATCCATTTCATGACACTGATGTTACACATGCCTTCTCCTCACACAGTTAAGAGGCTCTCCAAATGCCTGAGAAAGAAAATATCTGAGGCCTAAAAGAAGTACTCCAAATGAAAAAGCAGTGTCCTATGAGCAGCCTACAGGTAAAAAAACCACCCCAACACTTTCCATGCTGGCCAGCCAGAGATGCCCATCTAGTAGCTGCCCCGAATGCCAGGGCTGCCACATGAAAGCTTCCCACCTTTCTTAGCCAACTCATTCTGCAATAAATAATAATGCTCCCTTGTGAGAAGTGTAATTTTACTTAACATACCATTACAGATCAGCAAGTCTTAAAAAATTGAGAGAGTGATGGCAAGAGAGAGAGGGCAAGAGCAAGCAAAAGGAAAGAGAGACAGAGAGAAGGATGAGGGGGGAAGAGAGCGAGCACACAAGAGAGCAAGAGTGAGAGGGAGCATGAAGGTTGCGAGACAGAGTGTGAGCCTTTGGAAGTCCTTCCATTCCTGTGGCAGCCCCACCAGCTCTGCCCTACTGAGCCTGTGGGACCCTGAGCCACAGCTGCACAAGTCAGATGGCGCCACATGGCAACAGTGACAGTCGGTCTGCAGCCCAAGCTGGGGCAAGTGTGTTTTCTCCAATTGACTGAAACAGCCAGCCAGCACTTATCTCGTCTATCAAAATCCCTCAGGACATCTTTCCCCGTCTTTCTGCCAAAAGAATCACTGCCAGATTCCCAAGGTCTGTATTTGGATATTACATTTTAGAAGAAGTTTCCTGCATATAGGTTAGGCTGTTCTATCAAAGTGCATCTTTCCTCTATACGTATACCCACTTCTGTAAATTATTCCTTCATAAGGCTTTACAATATATCTGAAATGTTTCAAATCTGTATCTAATAAATATTACATGGAAATATTTTTTCAGTATTTACATATGAAACATATAAAAATACAATCATTGTAAGATTACTTCTTCTATTTCATCTTCTAAAGAACCAAGGGTCTTAACTCCTTGCTTGCTTGTAGTGTGTTGCAAACGGTGTCTGGATAGGTTTCTTCCTTCACCGAAAAGCTCATTGTCTTCTTTTACTTTGATTTTACTGTTTTTATCGACAAGAAGAGTATTTCCAGAGTCCCAATCTATGTCAAAAGGTGTTGTATCATTATTTTTAGAAAGAAGGATGGTACTGGCACTGCTTCCAAAGAGTTGTTCCATTAAATTGGACTTCTTTTCTTTCTTACTATTGCAATCTGCATTTTCCTTGACATTTTCTTCTAAGTTTTCATTTTTTTGAGTAAGCCAACTCGGTCTCCCTGATCCTTTCCCAAAGGAAGGTACATAACTACCAAATGTTAACTCACTACTTAAATCTGCGGTCCTTAGATTTCGTTGCTTCTGTCCTTGTGCTCTTGTGGCATCATCCTGGCTGTCATCTATGGGAAATCCATTAGCAACCCTCCCGGGAATCTCAAGGAATGTATTAGTTTTTTCTTTTTTCTCCAGCGAATCAGATTTTCTTGCTGTATTTATGAGCAGTGCATGGGAAGCAGGTTTCATGTTTGTTACATTTTGACTTTCTCTATCAACTTCTTGCATTTTAGCAAGCAGGAATTCTCTTTTTCGCTGCTCTTCCAGCATTTCAGTGCTTTCTCGCTCTACTTCAGGTTTGTGCATTTCTGTCTCCATCTTTGCTTTTGCTTCTTTATCCGATAAAAAGCTGCTTTCTTTTTTCATTTTGTCATATTCTTCCCTTTCCCACTCTGCAAGAAATGTTTAAACATTACATAAAATGGTTTAGTTTTAAAATGCTTTAAAAAGAATATTTTAAAATAATGCAAGCAAAAGCCATTAAGTTTTTAATGTGCTCTTCTATACACAACGTGGTTTTCCTACTGCAAAAATAAATTCTTCAACAAATTACAATTAAATTCACACCAGGTTCTCTACTAAGATATAAAAGTTTACTGTCATCTTCCAAAGGGATTAGAACATTATCCATGTTTTAGAATTTTCACAGGAATTTTGTTTCTGCCAATTGCCTTCCCGTTTCCTGGGTTTGAATGAAAACAAATACAGCATCACTGGTTTTAATAGCTCTGACTTGCTCCGTACTGTATTTTTCTTTGTCAGCATCACTGACCTCAGGATGGTTCTGGGATACGTGTTTTTGGTTTGGTTTTCGTGGTGTTTTTTTGTTGTTTTTTTTTTTTTCCCATAGAGGGAACTACTCCTGTGAAGCTATCAGGCCCCAAAGTCCTAGCAGTCATTACCAGTTTCAAGCTGCAAATGATTTAAAATATACTGCATCTGCTGCATACACAAAACACCTCTACGCGACTGTTCTGTGCATCACCATGTGAACTCAATGAGAATGTCTGTGCAAATACCAAATTTGCACAGCTATAAAGAGACACCAAAGGTGCAAACCAGTAATAAACTTCTAGATAGAACCTGCAAATACTGCTATGTACAAGAAAAAGGAAGCTTCCCAAATAGTTCTCTCTTCAAAATATTTTTCTATCCAGACAACAGATGTGTGTTTGGCCAGAAGTTGAATATGACTACTCAGGCCCTTCAGCACACTTTATTCAAGTTTCTGACTGATTTTTTCCAAAAAGTTCCATGTTAACTGTTGTACTTCAGATCACAATTACAAAAACAACTGCAACACTTCAGTTAATATATTTAATATGTTTTCTTTCAATAGTATATCATTATACCAAGTAAAGAAGGAGCTACCTTTTTGTATGTAAAGCGGGGAAAGTATCAGCTTATAGCATAAGATGGGAAAGGAGGTCAGAATCATCTCACTTAGAGACACAACAGAGCAGATTATTGGTTTGTGTAAGTTGTGCATTGATGCCATGGGGGTAGGAGATTTTACACAGAACTTACCTCTGAAAGCAGGTTTTTAAATTTTTCTAAATTTTTAGAATTTTTCCTTGTCATCTAGAATGAGTGTTTCTGTTCATTAAATATAATCACTGAAAGATTATTTTAACATGACAAGATGCAGTCCATCTAAAACACTTTAGAGTATTAAGAGACTTATGAATGTAAGTCATTAAGAAGGTGTGAAAACCAAATGAGTAAAAAAGCAATATTAAAATATGATAGAAACTGACATTTCTCAAATAGCCACCCCAAATGATTCGGATAACCACAAACGAAAAGAAAAACTACAATTTCAAATGATACAAGTGAAGTAGATCTGTACTGGAAAAATCAGACTGTATTAAGGAAAGCAGATTTGTTCTATAATAGTAAAAATCTACTGCCTACCTCAATAACATCTAGCCAGCCAGAGATAACATCAGCATTTACCTGCTACGTCATCCTTGTTTTGCAAAGCAAAATGTCTCAGGCTTCAGTATTTTTTAGTGGACAGCATTTTTTGCTGCTGCATACTTAATGACAGCTGAATACAGGATACAGATTACTCAATATCCCATATTTCTTTCTGAGTCTCTTTGCATAATGTAACTGAAAATAATTTTCCACTGTAGTGATCGCTGCAAAACCATTTTGCTCTACTCACAAGAAACTAGCAGCCTCACTTGATTAGTATTCTATGGGGTATTTTCCAGCTCTCAGCTGCCTGTTTCCTTACCATCATGTAGTTTTTGAACTCTCTCCTCTAAAAGCTGTATTTCCTGAAAATGTTTCAGTTTCTCTTCCCTTTCCCTGTCTTGGTTTTGTCTTAGGAGGTCTGCTTGCTCTTTCCATTCTTTGTCTTGAGTTTCTTTTTCCTGAAAAAAATTAATACAAAACAGAAACTGATGGGGAAAAATAATCAATAAAACAGACAAAAATCATATGAACTTCTATGTGATTCTGAAATCACATTCTTACCACCAAACATAAAAACGAGCAAGTCATCTAAACCAAACCAGCTTTGACAACCCTGGGGTTTAGCGCTAAAATCTTCTCAGCTCTAACAGAGTTTTAGGCACTGGAAACAACATGAATAGACAATTAAGTCTGTTCCATATTACACATTTCATGAAAGTTGCAGCTGCAATGTCATAAAGCAAAATTATCACTGTGTTAGGGTAGTTCTCTTTAGAAGTCAGAAGTTGTCTTTTTCAAGGACTTTAATAGAAGGCCAGACCCCACCGCCTCATTCTTTTAACAAGCAAGCAATTAGCTACCCTCTATTTCCACAATCTGATCTTTTTACTCTAGCAAGTGGGTTGTAGATTCAGACAGTTTCACAGAGGTACTTAAAGTTATGGAGTATCAAGTAACAAACAGCGAAGGGGGAAGGATTAATCTTGGCTGAAAAATTCAGCTAGTGAGTATATATACACATTTAAAAGGAAAGAACCTGCAGAAAAGACACTAATGGCAGCACTAAAAATCACTAACACAGAAAAGTAGTGGCAATGAAGTGAAGAGAAAGCCGGTGTAATCCAACGTGTGAATGCTAACTTTGTAGCTTGTGCTTAGTTTAGGGTAAAATAAACTTCTAGATTAAAATACACTTCTAAGAGAAGTAAGAGAAATGATTACTAGTTAATGAACAAAGAAAATATAACTATTAGCCAAAACAACTTCAATTATTTTCCCTTCATGTAGAAGATTTCACCATTACATTAAAAAAACCCAACCAACTTCATAAAGATATGGCAGTTGGGTATTTAAAATGCTTGACTTAGAAAACTGATGAAAGCACGGGGTTTATGTAACTTATGTTACATAAAGCAATAGCCATATACAAGCTCGAGGGGTTTGTAAGATGACATATAGTTGGATTCCATGAGCTGCACTGGTACCAACTGTGCAGTTCCATAACTCACACACTACAGTATACGTTGGAAGAATGCATACATTAAACTACACCCATACTTACAGAAAAGATTTTGGAAGAGAGAACATATGAATGAAACAGCCGTGAAAAAACTTCAGTCCTACCAGGAAGCCAGTCAAAACCATAATGGGAGCATTATTTCTGACAAATAGTCCTAGCCTTATGTAATCAGAATTTGTACAATTTGTACCAGAATCTGTATCATTCTGATTTGTAATACCTTACAAATCTTCCTGATCTTAGCCTGAGGTCACAGAAGTATTAGCAATACTTCTAATGGTACTATTTTATAATAAAAAGGGAAATGGAAAACCAAAAAAATCTAACCAGATTCACAAAGCTGGAAAAACGACAGAAGAAATACCAGTACTATGACAATAAGAGGAAGTGTTAGATTTATGCATTGTGAAATAAATCTGGAAAGTAAAAGAAACCATAATTAAGACCAAAGCAAAAAGACAAGGCAGCCAGCACTGTTACAACAGACCGCTCAAATAAGCACTACAAATAAAGAAAAGGGGAGAAAACCAAAATGAAGTCTTAAAAACTTCAAAGAAATGACAGTGGCAGAAAAAGAAACAAATTGAGCTAATGATTATCAGTAAGACCTAGAACATGATGAACTACGAGTCACAGAAATGGAGTATGATATTTCTGGAAGGGAAGAGTTTCTCTTAAAGATATTTTCTAAATTATATTTTCTATATATTTATATTTGTATATTTACACCTATTTTCTAAAATAGAAGCTCTGCATTAAACATTCAGTCTGACAGGTGAATTATCTGCAGCAAGTCTCACATTATTATGGTACTCACTATTTTAGGAAGAATCCCTTCGTTCTTGTTTGCTGCATCACCACAGACAAGTTCTGGTTCTGGAAGAAATTCTACTGGTGAGAAGTATCCACTGGTCTGTACACCTTTTGTGAGCTGTGCTCCTTTTTTGATATTTTGGTTGTTGGCTGCAGAAAATATAAACTAATCAATTCATGTTTGCACTTGAAAATATCCCACTACATACCTATCTCTCATTTTTAATGATTTGCAGCAAACATAAAAGACTGTATCAGAGGCAATGGAAGTGGAAAGTATTGACAAGTATCACATAGTTGTTTTCAGCATCTGCAAAAGCTAATTAAAGAAAATGCATGCAAAACTTCTACTGAAAAGAAATAAAAAAACACCTTAAAGGTACTTACAAAGTCATTACAGTATACTGAATATTTGTTAAAAATCCTCCCAATATCTCTCACTCATCTTACTGCTTGTCACAGAAGCTACATGTACAGAAGCAAACTCATAAAATTAAAATTAACTTATTTGCATCTCTGAAACACATACACTTATCTCTGTGGAATGACATTTTTAAAAATCTGAACCTAAAGTGGAATAATACTAAAGTATCTATAATAAAATGAGCAGGAGACAAACTGTTTGAAATGCTGGCATTAAATATTTAAAACAGTCCCATAAATTCCTGCTTCTTCTGACAAGTAGATTCTACTGATCCAGTGAAAATAGGCTAAGTACACACACAGACACACATATATACACACGTATTTATGTGGGCAGCATAAGGCTTGAGGCTGCCTTGTCACACCACAAGAAATCACTGCACCTATACTTTTAGAAGATTATGTTCTGAGACCTATGTACTCTTTGAGGCAAAAAAAGAGTGTGGCTCATCTGACAGACAGTAAATTTAAATTAGTAAAAAATAAATAAAAAAACGTAACTAAAACATTCATAGCAGTCAAGTTACATGTTTTTAGAAGCCTCTGTAATTTATTGTCATGTACACATTATCTATGTTCTATTACAGAATTTACTAAACAATCTTCCCCTCTTCCTTCACCCAGTAACATCTGGTATGAAAGGAGTTAAGAATGCTGTTTGATGAAGTTCTGGGTTTTGGTTCTGCTGCAGTTACAGAACAGTCAAACAAACAATGTGCCCTTCTTTGTAACAAGTGCTGCGTTGAAAGCAGTGCAGAAAAGTAAATGTTCTTGAACAAGCAGTGGTAGGGTCAAATACTGAATGGCATGAATGATATAACCTAGCAGAGTAATTTAAAAGCGTCACTATTAATTTTTCTGCCTTTAGTGCTTTGTATGTTACCTCTTTTCCTTTGGATAATATCCATGTCTTTTCTTGGTGAGAGCTTCAACATACGATTAGCATATATATTTTTTGCTTCAAGTTCTCTTTCTTTTTCCTGTGAGTGAAAAAAGTAGGTATAACAGAGTAAGTTATTAATGTTTCATTTACTAGTTATTAGCAAAGCTGTAAATTAAATTAAAAATACATGTTGTGAACAGAAACAGAGTAAAGCAATCAATAGTTATGTCCACTTTTTTAAGGAGAATAATCACATTTCTAACTTTTCCTACACTATAAGAAAGTGGATACCCCCCCCCAAAAAAACCCCCAATGTCATAGCAAAATAATCTTGGGGAGGGTGGTGGGGTGGTGGTGAGGAAACATCTCTGCAGTGAAAATAAAACTAAATGCCAACGTTTCCATAAACTTGAGTAAGACTTACAATGTAAGTATAGGTTGTACAACTGAGTTTTCAGTATTGTAAAGAGTTAAGCATTCCAATGCTAGCAATGCTCCCTGTCACAGGGCACACCAGTATCACTAAGCACGGGCCCACTGCTTCATTGAGACATATTCTTCTTTCATGACATTTATGGAATAAAATACACTGCACAGTGAGTTATCAGAGATCATCTGATAATGAAAATATTTTCAAAATATCAAACTCTCCACTAACAAATCAGGCTTAAAACACTCTAAACAAGGAAGTTTTTGAGCTACTAATGCTACTGCTACTTGCTTGATAGCTAGTAAGGTGGAAAACTGGTGCATTGCCTTTATATAAGTATGTTTGAGACTTGGGTTTTCAAGGAAATTCTCCTAGAAACTAAGTACTTCAGTGCAAGTTGTCTTTAATTTTTTTTCCTAAAGATAAACTGACTACTTAGAACATAACAATGTTTTCTGTCCTTAAATTTAGAATTTTGGCAAAAATGGGGTGGGGGATACAAATAAACCTTTGCACAAATTTAGCAACACATGTGGATACCACAAATACATGAAATTAATCTTTACACAAACCCACTATAATGCAAGTACATTAGTAACAAAGTACTGTAGATACCTGCAGATTTAATTTTCAAAATCAAGCCTTCAAAGCCTAATTTTTCAGTAGATCTTGTGGTTTAATGGCAATGCATGGCCATGTACTTGATCTTGCTTTTCTTAACTAGTGCTAACAATAATGATTAACGTAGAGACATTCCTGTTACAAACACTGTAGGGTCAGAGCACAGAACATTTCAATTTAAAGCAGGAAAAGAACTCCTATGTGGTATATAATTAAATACACATCAGAGAGCGCAGTCACTGGTAAACTATTCAAACCTGATTACAGATACTTCCCAAGATAAAATGCTAGAACATGGTTAGCAACTTGTATTGCTTTGCGTTTTACCTTCAGCTTCTGATTTAGTTGATGAAGCTCTTCTTGGAGAACTCTCTTTTCTTCTTGAGCTTCATACATCTTTTTTTTCTTTGAATGCAACTCTCTTTGAAAACTGCTACCACTTAATTCAAGATTTTTTTCCAGATCCTCAATTAAAACAAAATAATATTTTTTAATAACTTTTTTTTTTTACAGTCAAATTACTTAAATAAAATTACAGTAAACCAGCGTCCTGGATTCAGATATTGACTCCACCATTGCTGTAACACTAAACACATTTAAACCCTTAATCCTAACTTTGAAGAGGCAGACAAAGCACCCACAGATGCTGCAGCTCATCCTTCTGAAGTATTGAGAGGTGATCTGAGGACATAATGGGAACACACACAACTTTCTGCAAGGCTCTTGGCACAGTGGACCTCCAGATCTCTTAAGACAAATCTCAAACTGATGGTTTAGAAACAGAATACCTCCCTGAAAGTGCAGGATTAGAAGACAAGAAATAATTTTTCACCTTTCTACTAGAAAAATTTGTGATCGTGCTTTCACTTACATACCCTCGCCTTGCAATAGCTGTTTTAAATGAACATGTGATGATGAGAAAAGTAAAAAAACAGTAGAAGAAAATCCCTTACTTTTTAGAGCATGATTCATTTTAACATTATCCAGTACTACAAATGCTGAAATATCTGATCATAAAACTACAGATGCCAGATGGCGACACTACAGGATGAGGTGGTTTGGGTAACTCAGGAGTTTATATCTTGGTATTTTGAGATTTATTTTACGAAAGCTTAGTTTCCAGCTTAATCCTTTCGATTTCCAGATCTACTATCTTTGTAGTGTAATTTAGGTTTAATTACTAATATAGTCACTAAACTTTAACACCATTTTAATGGCTAACACAATTTCAGCTAAAAATAGTATTGCAAACAACTAACAACAGTTTAACAGTGTTAACACAACTATTTTTAAATAACTTTTTAGATGTATTTACAGCGTAGACATGTTTAGACACATTTACAAAAATAAAAATATTTTTGCTGAACAAAGTTAAAATATATTGCAAAAAATCCTTAATGAGCTTTAGTACATTTTACAGGTATGCATTTTCTGGTATTAAAAAAACTGCTGTAATTTTGTTCAGCTCAGCACTCAGATATGCAGAATAGTGGACAATCAAACACTGCATGAATGTAGTTCACAAACTTGAAAAAGAATTACTACATGTATGTTTTTTAGAATTTTAGTATAGAGTTCCCTAAATACAAAGAAAATATTTAACAAGTGCTTCCCCTCCAAGAGGATAAATTAGATTGCATCAAGTTGTATTGTAGCTGGCTGCACTTCTGAAACGTTATTACTATTTATAAAAACACTTAAAAGCACACGTCCACAGTACATATTCTGACAAAATATATTTAATTTGTAAATAGAAATTTGAATGCACAACTACCAAGTATGAAAGTATATAATCACCTTGGAAATAATTTACTTGATGCTACTTACATAAAAAAAAAAAAGATTTTCTATTTGCTCCACAACTGTGAAAAAATACAATTAATGAAGCTCATTAGGGCAAGAAATATCTGTAACAGAATTTCCTATGAAGAGAAATTCATCTCACCTTAATTCTTTTTTCACTCTCCTGTAGCCTGCTCTCTGCATTGGCTAGTTTCTTTGCCAGGTCATCTCTTTCGGCAAGGTGCTTATCTTCAGACAGCTTTTTCAGTTTCTGCAAGACAGTTTTTGTTCTGTACAGTTCATCTTCCGAATCTTTCAGCCGTCTCTCAGTTGCACGTTCTCTCTCTTGAGATTTTCGTAGGCGCTCCCTTAATATTCTAATCTCATTGTTGTGCCGAGCAAGGAGCTGAGAGATTTCGTTTTCCGTATCTTCAAACTTATTCAAGGCTTTCTCCTGCCTGTGCTGAAGCCTCTTCAGTGCCCTGTTTTCCTTCTGCAGCTCATCTAGTTTGATGTGGAGTTCAGTCAGTTCATTTCGGAGCTCATTGATTTTCAGTAGCCTAGCAGAAAGAACTCTTTTTGTAACAAGATCTATATCTTTTGCAGGAGAATCCCTAGTGAGGCTCTGAGAACGGAAACCCCACTGTGTCCCTCTTTTGCTTGGTGCATATTTGGAACCCAATTTCTTTGTGGCTAAGAGAGGAAAAATAAAAAGCATGTTTACCATAAGACAATGCAATTTGTCTACTTAGACATCCTTCTTGGAATAAAGCTCTGCCTGAAACAATTTTACAATACTTAGCAGAGATTGCAGCTTTCAAACCAGACAATAAGAGGCATAGATATGATAGACTTATGCTCCTTTTTATATATTAAAAAGAATATGGAGATTTATGTTTGTGATCTACTGTGAAAGGTAATATTTACAGCCATCAATATAGGACCATTGTAAAGTAATCATCTGCAAATTGTATCAGAAATAACTGTCATATTTTGTTAATATTTGATGGTGTTTATTAAAATGTTTTAGAAATACTGTACTTTTATGCATACAATATTATCAAATGCTTTTAAAATGGCAACAATTAGCTGAGCGTTAGCTAGTTATGTATTATGCAAGATGTAATTCTCTCAGACAAATGCAGTAGTATTTTCAAATCCAGCTGCCATGCTTACAGACAAAACAGCAGATTTCAAAGGCTCAATGCAAAAAGCCTCCAAAGCAAAATTATAAGCCCCATGAAAAATCAGTTCTTCCCTGAATAATTTATTCTTGTATCACAAGTTATTTTCCACACAGTATCCTTATTTGATTACTAGTATGCATCACTTGCATTCCTATTTGGTATTATTATTTTATTATCATCCCCATAGATAAAAGCTAAACATTTTGTTTCTATCTTATTTGTCTCTCGAGCTACACTCAAAGAACGAAGCATATAATCCACCAAAAATATCTCTTAAAACAAATGAATATATAGAGAGTACATAATTCATTACGGTACATCAGTGTTCAGAGGAAACATATTGAGCAGCAGCTTATAATTCAGGCTTGAAAGCTGGGATACAGCAATAGTGCAGTTACCTATACAGAGACAGTGAGTGTGTGCGACAGCAAATTCTTCCTCCCCTTTGGTATTCACCATGTTTCTATTCTGCAGAGAATATTTTACAGCAAAAATCCCCAGCTTTAAAATATTTTCTTATAATTTCCTCTAAACATTTTGCACAAATACTCATTCATTTTCTGCTTAATGCTCATTTTTTTTTCCCCAGCCTGGACAAAAAAAGGTGGGGTTTTTTTGCTTTTATAAAGAACACTTATGTCACATTCAGGTATGAAAAGATTATTTAACACAAGCACTGCAGGAATGATGCCACTCCTATCACCAGCTAAAGGAATTCTCATTAACCCTAGACTTCCAGCCCCTTCAACAACTTCCTCTATATTTAGGGCAGAACAGAAAATTCCAATACCAAGTTTGCACTTTTGACCATACAGTTAAATTGGGCAGTAGTGTTTTTCAGAAACAAGGTGACATTCACAGTACGTTCATGTAATAGCTGTGTTCAGTTCTGGCTATGTAATCAAAGAATCAGTCATTCATTTGCCCCCTCCAAATTAAATAACACAATTTTTGTTTCTGAGAAAGCTAACCCATGACTGCTATGGAGAAGATGCCACTTCTGAACACAGGGAAACTCAGCAGAATACCAGTTGCACCAGGACACCAACACTTTCGAGCATCTGAAGAGATACCCTCCCTGGGCAACTTCAATATTTATGGTTAGATCTTCTGGCACACTCTAGATCATAATGTTGACCAAATAATTCATAGGGTATTAAGCACTTACGAACAAAATAGAGCACTTGCTTGAGAAAGGCAGGATATGCTCTGACTTCACCAGAAAACGTGTGCAATTATTTAGTACAAGCTGCCAAAGTGTGGCAGAGAAGCTTCACATCCCTACTTCAGCGTAGGATCTGTACAACCATTCTTTCCCTTTCTGTAGGGATGTTCAGTTCCCCACAATCTCAACCAAGACAGGAGCTTATGTAGGTGAGATGTGTGTCAGGGAGCTCAAAGTGGAGCTATTTCATCTCAAACCGGAGATATTTTACCCTCAAAGGAGGACTAGGAAAAACTTTCTTATGAATTTCCACATGCACCTAATTTTCACCAAACACATTTTCTCTCTCTTGCCACATTAGCAGTCTTTCATTTGTTTGTTTTCTGAAAAAAACAAACACCCAGTATCACACTGTAAAGCTTCTAACTATCTAAACTAGACTTCCAGGAGAGAGATATCTTTAGGGGTATTTTGTCAGAGAAATTTTAACAATCTTTTACTGACTGCATAGTAAGGACTTGCGTTGAGTCCTCAGCCTCAAGTCTTTTTGCCAAAGACAGAAAGAGAGCATTGGCATGATTCAACAAAAGGCTAGTATCAGAGCCACGTTCACTTGTTAAGAAAAACATGAATAATTCTGAAAATGACCAAAAATCCTTCTTATGCAGGAACAGGTCAATTTCAGTTTTCAACAGAGCAGTTACAGTCTACCTGCCACCTGTAGCATAATTCACATGAACTTTATCTGTAGATTCTCATAATGGTAGTTTCCCATTTGTATTTCAGCTTTTAAAGACAATTAACTCTTTACAGCAGCAATTTCTGCTATCTCCCTACCTTGGTAGTGCACAAGGCTGTTTGAAGTTTGTGTTTTGTGATCTCTTTTTTCTTGGCTTGTAGACGGATAGCTTAGTGTTGGCGACTGGCCAGATGAACGAGATGCATTATCTTCATCTGAATAATAGGAATCACTATTTTTATCCCCATCTGATTTCCTGTCGTGTTCAGAATCTGGGCTCCTCACTCTTTCTCCCATTTTTCAGATTTAACTGCTTTCCAGATTTTTCTCAAAGACTGTTCATTTTGACACAAAGGACCTTTCAGTTGTCACAATGGCAGCAGCTGGATTATTTCCTTGGATTTATCATCTTCATCTCCAAAGCACGAGATCTTTGCAGTTCAGTTCAGCAAGCAGTAGTTATCATTCAGAATGCATTTTTTCTGTAACAATTTAGAGAGACAAAAAAGTTAGAATGGTTTTGCTGTTTAGTTAAGAAAGGTAAATGAAAAAACCTGTAAAATTATGCAGGATTCCAATAACCTTATGCCACGTGCTGTGCTACATTAGCCTTATTATTTATATTAAATCTGACGGACATCATTCTAGGAATGCTACTAGTATTATCCTCAGTAGTTTGAGGCACTTCATCCCCAAAAGAGAAATCAGAAAATTAACACAGCTAAATCTAGGATAAGAAATTACTCCCAAGTTAGAGAGAGGAAAAAGAAGCATTTGGAAAAAAAAAAAAAAAAACACAACAAAACAACAGAAGACAACTGAAAGCTTGATAGTATTCAGAAAAATAACGTAAACATATTTTAAAACTTTTTAACCTAATAAATTAACAACTTATTCATGTGACTAGAATTGAGATATTTGTAGAATTTGACTGTATCTCCCGTGTCTCAATTTCTGACACTCCAATGTTGTTAAATAATGGGCCTGAAAGTCAGTTTTCTCATTTGTCTGGAGGACATTCTGTCCCTAACTGCTAATGAGACTGTACCTATATATCACAGTCTTTGCCCCGGAAAGTACTCTCATACCCTAAAACATCTAGTGTTTCATGCCTTCAAAAACTGGCAGAAGCACACACATTTGTGTCATGCGTTTTATAGGAACGTGCAAATATAGTCTTTTCATTTTTTATATCTGGTAAGAGAGACCACAATGCTGGTATATGGTAAACATTATATCTGCAGCAGCCTGTCTTCTGCTGTAAACTGAAAAAACCCCTAATCTCAAGGTAAAGTCACATTACTTTGCATTTTTTGAGACAATTCTTGAGAATATAATGGAGCAAATGCATCTAAAATTTTCCTCACCTTCTCAGTCAAAAGAATTTTCTCATCAATTTCAGAAGTATTTTACTGACTACACCCAGCCTCCCATGTTATTTGTCTCCCTTGCCACTCCTCAAAGCTCTCAAGCTTGTTTCACCATCTATCTCCCTTCAGTCCAACTTCAGGACATCAAGCCTCTAATGGGTGAATAAACAGGACTTGCATAGAGCCCATCAGTTCTGCCTGCTGAATGACGTAAGCTCCTAGCTGGAGCTATGCGAAGCTATTGGGAAGCCGCTGGGAAATCAATACTGAATTATTTGGAAGAGAGGGTCTTTCTTTACTTAGGGAATAACTTTCCAAACTAATGTTTTTTAAGCACCTAAATATTTTCAAAGTGGTCCAAATAAATTACATGCCTAAAACTTAGGTCAGAGGGGATTCTGATGAAAACTAAAATTGTACTGCAAAGCCCTGAAAGAAGACAAACTATGCTTGAGATCACTTGTCCTAGAGGTTGCTAAACATGTACTGGAAAGTATCAGCTATTGCAAGTATTCAAAAGACCAGTAATGACTGTTCTTTTTTCTTCTGAAATAATGCAGTTAAAGATATTTTGAAAGGATATACCTAACCATAACTGTATTATCTTGTTTAAGTGTAATGAAGACCCTCAGATACGTTCATTACTGCAAAACTAATATCATGTAACAATACTAGAACATATCAGGGTGCATCCCTACTTTCAAACAGCTCCACTCTTAAGTCCTGGCCTCACAAACATCTGCGCAGAATATATATGTTATTTTGCTCCCTGAAGAGCAAACTGAGCCCAAATTGGAACACAGGCAGAATTTTGGGGACAATCTTGCATAGGCAAGACTGCATCAGTTCTGTCTCCACAGGACAGAATCTCAGGGAATGCAAAAAAATATAAAATAAAATAGAAACTAATATATTTACATTAAAATACTAAAACAATATAAAATATAAAAATTGTACTCTGGAGGGCTGTAACACAGACCTCATGTTATTACAGCCATCCTGCCTAAAAAACCCATTCAAAACAGCAGTTGTGTTTGTAACCCACACAGTGTGGTGTTGTCATTCATAGAAACATAGAATACCAAGTTTGAAGGGACCTCAAGGATCATCTGGTCCAATCCTTCTCGGCAAAAGTACAGTTTAGACAAGATGGCCCAGCACCCTGTCCAGCTGAATCTTAAAAAGTGTCCAATGTTAGGGAATCCACCACTTCCCTGGGGAGATTATTCCAGTGGCTGACTGTTCTCGTGAAAAGTTTTCCTCTTGTGTCCAACTGGAATGCCCCCAGAAGTAACTTTTACTCATTACCCCTCATCTTTTCCATGTGATTCCTTGTAAAAAAAGGAGTCTCCATGTTCTTTGTAGCCATCCTTTAAATACCAGTCTCCCCTAAGCTGTCTTTTCTCAAGGCTGAGCAAATCCAATTCTCTCAGCCTTTCCTCCTATGGCAGGTTTCCCAGTCCTTTGATCATCTTTGTGGCCCTTCTCTGGACCCTCTCCAGCCTGCCCACATCTTTTTTGCATAGCAGAGACCAAAACTGAACACAATATTCCAGGTGTGGCCTGACAAGTGTCAAGTAGAGTGGGATAATGACTTCTTTCTCTCTGCTGGTGATGCCCTTGTTGATGCAACCCAGCATCCCATTGGCTTTCTTTGCCACAGCAGCACACTGTTCACTCATATTGAGCTTGTTGTCCACCAGGACCCTCAGGTACCTTTCCACAGAGCTGTTCCCCAGCCGGATAGATCCTAGTCTGTGCTCACTCCTGGATTATGCTTTCTTTGTAGCCAAAGGCTTCATTTCCAGCTAACAACATGGGCCACAAAACTTGTTAGACTGTGTCTGAACTCATCTTGGGTGCCTGGAGCTTTGCTATAGCTTATTTAGCTGCAACAAAATTAGTTAACAATCAGGGAACTTATTTACTTTGTTTTAGCTTTTGCTTTGTACAATTGTCCAGCACCTACTGTTACATTTATTTTTATAACTGATATAAACAATATAAAGCAATATAAGCTATATAAGCAATATAAAGTAGTTATTCTGTGCGGAGCAAACAATCTACAACTTTTGCAAAAATGCAACATAGAGGAACACAGGTATGGGGTGACTGCAGGACCCAGAAAACACAAACACAGGACAGCGCTGAGCTCATAAGCTATAACAGCTCACCTGTGCTTAATTATTGGTCATCACAGGAACAGTCTTGGGAGCTGGGTAAAAACAGTTTTATAGGCAACATATAGAACAAAGAACCAGTACTCAACATATGTAAAGCACACCACATGTAGTAAATTCAGATATAATGTGGAATCACAAATCAATGAACTGAACAGAACAGAATAAAGAGTAAGGTCCACAGTGCATTAACAAGCATATAAAAATGATCCCAAATGGATTAAGGCAAGGAGGAAGAAACCATCACCGTCCTTCCCTGCCAGGGAAGGATCTGGGATGCTGATGACTTGCTGTAAAGACTTGCCCTCCCCTCTGAAGCCAGTCAAGTCCCAGAGGGAGAGTGGGTGGGGAAAGATAACACCAGAGAAAGGGTTTGGTACTAGAGTTTGTGCCTATATCACTGTAACTGCACATAGCTTAGTACTAGTCCAGATACTAACACAGATCAAGTCTTTGATTAGACCACTAAGATTTTACTTAGACTAATAATCAATTGCTGGCTCTGCATCTAAGATGTGTTCCCTGTTTTGCTCCTAACAACATGCTGAATAAAACAAACTGGTGGGAATTCAAGCAACCTAGCCCGTTACTTGGATGCAAGTCTGTCCCAGAGCCACAGGGGCACACGTGGCATCCACGAGTCCTGAACTCCTGGAGTAAGCACACCACTGTTAGAGGCATCACCACATCCAGAGGTGTTAACCTAGGCCTGTGTGGAGGCAGGGATTACACTACGGCACAAATATCTTCAACAGAGTAGATATAGCCAATATACACCCAAATTTTGTCTGCCTTCAGGACACAGAAGCACAGAAAGAAATCATCATGCACAGACTTCTTCCTGAGAGGAAAACAAATATGAACAAAAACAAATGGGACTGCATTTATGGAAAACATAAATGTCTACAGTTCAATCATCAAGCTGTCTAATTATATATATAAAACAAGAACACTCACTTTCACTTACTGACTTAAAGCTGATCAGTTATTTTATAGTCCCACAAGCGTTCACTGAAGAGGCAGTAATTTTTTTGAGGAATGCTTTTCATAACTCACTGTATTTAAAACAGACAAATTGTAAGAACGGGAGGATTAGAATTATCCATCACTTCTGTACTGGATATTCCCCACTTTTGAGAATATTTTGCTAAGTATCATTTTGACATACAGCAACATAAATGAAGAGTAATTTATGATGCATTCTGGAAGTACTTTGAAAAGCAATGGACTGAAAACAAATTGAAAAAAGGTGAACCAATAAAAGCTCCCTTGAGATATCTCCAAAAACATTTTCTGAATCTTCAAATGGTTTTCAGTTTTATAAATTGGTAATATTATCATATTTTCCATACGAAACAAGAAACCCTTGTCTGTCAAGTCTTGCCAAATCCAGTTTTCCACCAGTTTATAATGTAATTTGATTAACATAAAGAATGCACAGTTTATCTTAGAACAAATGAATCACTAGGATATTTGAGTTTTTTACTTCAGTTAGCCTAAGGACTGTCTAATTAAGAAATGCTTTGGTTCATTGACTTTTCAATTGTTACCAACCAATTTGAGTTGACTATAAAATAAGTTCAGCTCCTGTACGATCCACAAAGATATCTATTTTCCTCTTGTACATTTAATAAGTTTGTGAGAAGTGAAATACTGGGGGTTAGCAGTGGGTCTACTAAGTTCCCCCTGTCAACTCCAGCGCCCCCCCCAAAAGCTCCATGCATGCTTTATAAGCCTAATGCAACAAGATCAGATCAGTATAGAATGGCTAAAGTAAATCTGTGACTTGTACAAACTTTAGGAACAGTTTTGTTTCTAGAATTTCATACTCCTTCATTTCAGCCACTTCTACTATTGCTATTATTTACATATTTTGTATTGAAAACATGCCT